GAGAGAGAGAGAGAGAGTTTATAGAACTCTGTTATTTGATTTTACTGTCTTAGCTCTTTATGTTATGCCCCGTTCTAACTTCTGCTTCTCTAGTAGTCCATAGAAGTTAGGTGCTTTACAAGTTCTTTACTTCTTTTTTTCTGGTTTTCTTTGAGCCTTTTGTGGATTCTAGATTGTGTTTTGCAATGTGGGTTTCCAGGTCATTGCTATGTCGGCCTCTTCCAATAGACATCGGGCGCTGCACTTGCTTTATAGAGAGGGAACGATTGCAAGAATTGAATGGGGTTTATGTTTACTCTCTCTACACAAATGTAAGGACTTAAAATTCCATGAAATTGAATGAGAATGCACTCTTTTGTTATCTACTCTCATGAATTTCCAGTGTTAAAAAAATCGACTACTCTCATGAATTTCCAGTGTTAAAAAAATCGACTGGGCAAAAGTATTCAGGTCCTGGCCAAGCCGATTTATTCAGGCGAGTCCGAATAACTCACCGAATGACTCATCCGAGTCCAGCACATTTTTTCTTAAAAGAAACAATCAAATTTGAGTTTTCCTCAAAAAGTTCACAAGAAGAGGTTGTTTTGATGCTCAAATATTTTGAAATTGATCATCTCGACATCAAGATGCATGGAAATGAGAAAAAATTGATTTTCAAGTTTTGGAAATAGTGTATTTTGTAATGCATTTTTAGACCGTCAATTTTTAAGATTTTCAAGTTTTCATAGATCTATCGATCTATACTGTTTTTGAACATTTGAACTTTATAAAAAAAATAGGAAAATATATTTTAAAGCTATCACAAATATTCTCAGTAGTAAAACCACATTTCTCGATACTATTTGAAGGTAGGCTCTAATTTGATTGTTTAGAGCCGAGGCTCTATACAAACCGCACCCATATATATATAATCTCTTTGGTTAATACAGTTGAATGTGATAACTTTTATGACAGCGCTATTTTATTTTAAAGAACTATTAATCATATGTAAACTATTGTTTAAATTGATGAACGTGTCACTTTTGTGGTAGCACTATATTGTGCTACAAAAGTAATTCGCATAAAATTTATATTTTATAAATGATACGAATATGAAATTTATTTAAATTAGATGTATTGTTTCATCATAAAAGGGCTTTTGTGATTAGATTACCTAGAAGTTAAAAATATTAAAATTCTTTATGGTGATTTTGCCGGACCCGAGTGACGGCCCATTAAACATAAATCTCTCTCTCTCTAGCGAGCCTTTGAAGTCAGAAGGCTCTATATATTCTCTCTCTTGCATTTGAAGTCAGAAGGCTCGAGTTTTAGAACTCTGTGAATCCCTGTTAGAGAGATATATAGAGAGAGATGGGTTGGCTACACTAATTTTGCTTTGGTTTCTTTTGTTCGGAGCAGGAGGGGCATGGCCGACAAGATCGCAAGCTGGCCATTGCTCTGCATAGAAGGAGAAGTGGTCGGTCTGAGTTTATCGTAGCTCAAAACTTTGCAGGAATTCTCTCTTCTACTGATGACGGTTTTCTAGGAACAGTAACAGCTAATCTCATGGGATCAAGATACCACATATGGGGCCAGGTCAGATTAAAAATATCTTCTTCTTTTTTCCAAAATTGCAAAATTGAAGTTTGTTTGGATGAACAAATTAAAATGTTGGGCACCTAATTAGTTGAATGTAGCTTGAACCTTGAATTTCTGGATTAATGATTGTTCTTGGCTGAGTAAAGAGGCTTGACTGGTGAAATCTCATGATTGTTTAGGGGAAACGTCTCGATTTGCAGAGGAAACAATTAAAACAGCTTCTGGCCGTCATTGGGTATGCCGACTTATCTTTTCTTGTCTGTGAAAATAATGTTCTATGTGAATTCTCACTAGAATTTTCCTGCTCTATTTATCAGATTCATCCCAACTGTGACAACCTGGATGGGAAGATTTAGAAGCATGCGTGCATGGATCCCAAAACATCAATCAATGCAATTGAAGAGCACAACTCAGGTGGATTTCTTTTCTCTCCCTTTTTATTTTGAATCGATGCGATTCACTGAATGACTCTTCAATTAGAATTCTTTCAAACTCATTCTTCTTTTGGGTCATTCAGATTCAGCATATTAATGGACTTCCCAAGAACTGGGAGGAAAAAAGTAGTCGAGCTCATCAGTTGGTTTCGAAAGTCCCACGCTACAACAAGGTAAGCCTAGCATGTCTATCTCTCTCTCTCTCTCTCTCTCTCTCTCATTGTGCTACTGTAATTGTTAGGTATGGTAGTGCACTTTATTGAGCATCTTAAATTCCTAGGGCAACTTGGGTTTTCTCGACGTGGTACCAAATTAAGAGACCCGGAGTCTTAGCTCGTTTAGGTGTATCTTTTTTCCATGCATGTAACTATGTATATCAGTGTTCAAAATCAAGGCTCTGATTTGGGACTTGGCAGGGTCCCAAGTCCGAGTCATTTGTACAATTTATAATACTATATTGCAGGAACCAGTCAAGTTTGGCTGGTTCCTACTCGGATTCAGCACATTGCGGAGTCCAAATAACTCGTCTGAGAGCGACTAGACACGCATGAGTTTTAGAACACATGTATTTTCGCATTTGACAATCATTGTGGATCAACTCCTATCTGAATTCTTATATGCATGCTTGTATAAGAATAGAATAAGCATTGAGGTGCTTGGATGGATGACCTCCTAAGCTCTCCGTACCATATGTGATCCACTCTTGCAAGTCAAAATATATGTAATGGAGAAAGAAAAGATGGGTTTTTTTCTGGGTTCTGTCGTTTTTATGTGGGACTATTTTCCTTCAGTGGTGTTCATTTCAATGGATCTCAGTCTCTCTCTCTCACACACATGTTTTGATGGTTTCCTAGAACTCCAAGCGATACGAGCTAGACTTCCGTGAGAGGGGAAGAGCAGGGCTTAAAATTCAACCCTCCGTGAAGAATTTCCAACTTACAATGGAGGTAAGAATGCACCTCAAGTTCTTTAAAGATAATGTAAAACCAGGTCTGACAACCTATTCATATGTGCAGGAGAATGGAAGGCAGTCCATCGTGCTCCTTGGAAAAATAGGGAAATCAAAATATGTGATGGATTATAGGTAAAGAGTTTCTTTCCTTGCATCCAGCTATCTCGTTTTATCTCTAACTGCAACCCCATCTATGACACGCATCGGAATTTCTTAATTGTAAAAGAAACAGAACATTCTGAAACCTTCACTAGAGGGGCTTTTTTTAGGTAGGAATCGAATTTGGGATTTAGCATTGCAATCATCAACCACTAACCAATCAAGCCAAAGGACGATTCCTTTCACCGGAGGGGTTTGTTAACGTAATTACACCCACAATCACAATTGAATTTCCAAATTGTAATTAAACCTTCGAAAACCTTCAATGGAAAGGGCTTGTTAACATTCTTATGTATGTGTATCTTATTTGTTGTATTAATGCTTGTACATCCATCACATAGTTGTTGGGATCGGGAGCGGAAATGGTACTAGGATTGGGTTCGGGAGTGAGGGATCATGAAATGCTAGAAGATCCTTATGATTAGGATTCTTATCTTTGGGGTACGAGATCCCAGAATTTAAAATTCGAGATATTTTAGATATCCGTTCTGGGAGCGACATGATCGAAATTCTAGAAGGGATCGCCTACCAAAGTAGGAGATCCCGATAACTATGATCCATTGTACCCTAATATAACTATAATAACCACCATAACAATCCACTTTGCTCTGATTTTTATTTGTGAAATCAATAATGAATGTTATGAGATATGAAAGTGTGACAACTGTATCTTGGAAAATGTCTATATGAGGCAATAGCATTTAGAAATAACGCTATTGTAATGGGAAAGGTTTCTATACTTTCTTTAGAAGAACTATGCTTCCCTTACCATCCAGCCATCCAATTTTGATCATGAGAGCCGCTCACCATTTGATCTTAGATCCGACGTCTCAAAGTATTTTATTTTTAGTTTTTTTTATACAAATTGTATGAATATGAAATTTGGTACGTGCTATCTTCTCATTAGGGCGCACCTATAAAAAATATTAAAAATAACTTTTCGATAAAATATTATAACCAAAATACCCCTTGAATCTTTCAGGGGTATTTTGATCATTTTATTTTATTGAAAATATTTTTTTTTATATTTTTCACTAGCACGAGTTTAATAGAGGATTGAACGTACAAAATTTGGTGTCAAAATAGTTTATAGAAAAAAATTAAAAATAAAATAGTGTAGAAACGTGACATTGTGATTGGGGCAATCTTGGCCGTCCATTCAGAATGAACGGTTGGATAAGGGGAAGTATATAAATTTTATACCGTAGGGGAAGCATAGAAAGCTTGCCCTATTGTAATCTTACACCGTTCATTTACTTGAACAATGTGAATTTGGCACTATTTTGGAGGTGTCAAATTTCTGCATGTGATGTCTTAAAAGAGATGCCAAATATACTACTAAGCTAAAATAAATGGTGTAAAACAGCCGAACTTCTACAGATAAGACTGCTGCCTTATATAAACCACACCTTTGTATTATTGGCTTCCCATATTTAGTAATTATATACTATCATAAATTGGTTATTTGTGATGCTTTGCAGGTTCCCCTTAACAGGTTATCAGGCATTCTGCATTTGTTTGACCTCAATAGATTCCAAACTCTGTTGCTTCATTTGATACTCCATTTCGAATTCAACTTGAAACCTCTCCATACTTTCCCATCCTTGTGATGTTAAAAACATCTAGTTTTTTATTTCATGGAAGGATGCTTTTGTTAAGATGTTTTCTGTATCGAATTCTTCTTCAAGTGAAAGAAAATTTTGGCAAAGAAATCGTAAATTCATGTTTGTATGGAGGAGATTTGTTTAAGTCATCCTCCTTGTATTGCAGAAGCAAAGGCACACCTCTAAATTTTTCATGTAGATGCAGTTTTAGTGTTGAAAACCATTTAAAGGCTTGAAAACCTATTTTATTCCCTAGTTACGGAATTCAAAAATTCAAAAATAGTACAGATCCAATATATCTATAAAAGTAGAAAATCGTGAAAATAGGCAGTCTATATAACTCGTTGCAAGATGTACTATTTTTAAAACTTGAAATTCTTTTTTTTTTCTTCATATTCATATATCTCGACCTCGAGATGATTGGTTGGAGGGTTTTTGATACAAGCAAGAGGGGGAATAATATAAATAAATTACAAAAATAAAAGAAAATAACAAAGTGTTGAGAGATTATACCATCTCCTAAGGTTTGTTAGGAGTCTACTTCCAATAAGGTCTTTTCACAAAATCCAAAATGAATTTTTTTTTTCTTCATTTTTGTTCAGTAATTATATATTTTATAGAAGAAAGCGATCCTTAAACCTAAAGAAATCTTAATCAATATTATATTTTTTAAGTTTGTCCCTCAAATCTTTACAACTAAAAGAGCATAAATATTCCTTAAAAAACGAGAAATCCGAAATAACTTCAAATCTCAAATCTAGAAAATAGTAAAATAAAAAACCCACTGTAATATTTTTTTGAGATTGAAAGAAGCTCGACCTCAAGCTTGTTGATTTCAATATATTATTTACAGGCTTTCACAAAAGTTAGGGATGAAATCCTATAAATCTCTTCAGTACTTCGTCTTCTATCAAAGGACCAATTAACCAGACATTTGGTGTGCAGATAGTAGTAGAACTCTTGAATACCAAATTCAATCATAATTTCTCTATTAAGCTCAAAGGATAATATTTCATATGTTGCAACAAGCGTGTTTTCTTCGTAGCAATTGATTACTAAAATTTGTAGCTTCAAGGTTTACCTTTTCATCTATATTTCATTTTTTTTTCATCTGTATTTCACAACTTGGACTCTTTAGATGAAATCCCCCCGAACCAAACATTTTATAACAACTTTTACAACTTTTCAAAAAAGTACCTAGTAAAAAAGTCGGAGTTTCTTTTTTAACACCTACAACTTAACTTTTTCCATAGCACACAAAAAGGCGGTCTGATAGTATAAACGAGTGGTTCGGCACTGCCAAACAGTGGTCCGACACTTCCAAAGAGCGGTATGGCAATAGGCCCATGCAGTTTGGCAATATGCCCATGCGATCCAGCAATAGGTGCAAAGCGCGGTCCAGCATTTTGTGGACTCGGTTTGGAATTGTGCACTCGGTTCGGCATTCTTTCTAGTTCCTGAGCATCCTATGAGAATGTGACGCCATCACGGAAAATGGTATTTTTGTCAAAAAAAAATGATGACTTTTTTACTTTGGGGAAGGGATATTTGCTAGAAAAGTTTGTTTTGGGATAAAAGTTATGATAAAAGATTGGTTGGGGGTACGTTGTCTAGAAAGTCAAAGTTGGGGGTATCAACAATTTTTTTAGGATTTTAAAACTGTTATACATATTTTTTAAAATCCGATCAAACTAATTCGACCGATAATCATACCAATTTTGACTAGACTAAACCCCTCACCAGTTTAGCTATCGGTCTAATCCTGATAACATTTGAGTAAGAACTATGCGAGTCACCAATTGAAATTTTACGATGGCACCCACTCCGTCGAACTCCATCCATGCCACTGATGGATGGTGATAACCTCTGAGCTATGAAGTTTTCATGTCATATGGATCGTATTGCATGGACCTTTTAAGTTAGGGATTGTTTACAAATAAATCACTTATCTTTTATATAAAGATGTCAAAATCATTCTTATCTCTTAGATTTCAAAATGGTGGTTATAAGAGTGTTATTGATTACAGAAAATCTCAAATTACGTAACTCATCTCGAGTCATCTAATTTTAGATCTAATAAGTAGAAATGGTTATGACCTCTTTATACAAAAGATAAATGGCTTCCTATTGAACAATCCCAGCTAGTTAACCTCATAGAGCAGCCATCGAAGATCTAAGATGACCATATGAAGATGCAGAAATTGGGGATTTCTATGGGCAACCCCTAATGTTTCTTATCGCATCGCCGACGTCACCGTCCTGATCTCCTTTTTGACAATGACTTGGAGCATTCAGTCATTAATTTTGGCATTTGGAGTGTTGTCTTCTTTACTCATATATAACTCTTTTTAATTAAAATATTGATTTTCTTTTTTTTGCACGGTTATTTGTTAAAATGAAATTTTGTTTCCATTTCCATTATTTGAATAGTAAAAGAAAGAGAATTTTATCAATATTAATCAAATTCTAAAGTTTTTAGTCAAATAGAATATTATATGCAGGCCTTTTAATGGGAAAAACGAGTGTTCATCTTTTTATTTTTTTTAAAGTCTTCAATATAATTATAAATAATTATCTTTCTTTTTTAATATTTCGAGATTGTTTCTTCTACCTTTTTTTTTTTTGTTTTTCTTTGTTTTGAGATAATTTATTAATTTGGAAAAAGAGTTATTGTTGGTTTTCATTGTTTGATGATATAAAAATTTGTGATTGTATACTAGGAGACCATTTATTTTTAGTATCAGAATGTTACAATCACTGTTAACTATTGGATGTGAAATCTAATAAATAAATATTACAACATTCAGAAACTTTTTATTTGAACTGTGTCCGGACACATTCTCAACTACCTGATTTTAAATCAATGATCAATAATGAATGTGACCTCCTTGTATCAAAGATACAAAATCTCATTACATACATTTCCTTGAACATATTTGTTTCCAAATCAATGATGAAATAGCCATGTCCTCAAACACTTCCATGGGGGCGTGGTATAAATAGGCGGTCCAAGTTTACCTCAATCCGAACCCAACCCCGATTGCGTTCTGGTTGGACACGGGTGACTTGGTTTGGTGCGTCGAGAAAAATTGGGGTTTGAACATAGAAATCTTCTAAAAAAATTTCATTTGAAACTCATGGCCTATACTTTTTCATGTTCTGTGTATATGTGTACGTGAGGTAAATGGTTGAGCTCTTGGAAAATTATAAGGACCCGGTTTCTATGTGGCCAAGCCCTCATATGTAGAAATGTGGAGCTCTTAATAAATCTATTTTTGAGATGGATTTTAAGACTTAATTTTTAAGGACATGTAATCTCTAATATGGAGATCATCAATATGAAAAAATTAAATAAAATTTTAAAACTAAAAATAATAATTTTAGTAAAAAAACATTAGGACCATTAGTTTCCATTGTTTTTAGAGGGAACACCTACTTGCATCCATCTTTAAGATGGATGCTTTACACTTTCTGGACCACCTATGTAGAAATGAGGTCAGGCCCGCATGAAACAATTTTCCAAATTCTAGATATCCCAATTTGTACTTTTTAGGCATATGCCCATGCCCCTTCCCTAACCAAAAAAAAGAAGAAAATAATGTTTGATACAATACTATTAACCCAAATACTGGTTATTTTGGCATCCACCCTCAGCAAAAATGTTGTCTTTTTTACAAAATACCCTCATTTTAATCCATGTTTCTAAAATATGACACACAATATGTGTTGGCTTAGTAGAAAATGTGTCGGAACTTCAATATTCAAATTCTCTTGGTCTAACACAAAATGCATCGGACCAGCTTATATTGAAATTGTATCGGCTTGTCACATTTTATGCCCGATCAGCTTCTATATTCAAGTTGTGTGGGTCCAATACATTTTATGTCAGCGCAGCTAGGAGAGAGAAAATAGGAAATACGGGTTAAAATGAGGGTCTTTTGCTCCAAAAAAAGTGATCATTTTCGCTTGAGGGAGGGAGATGCAAACACAAACGGTGTTGAGGTTAATAATGTGATATCAAAAATAAGTGAAGCATACCTAAAAAATTCGAATTTAGGGGCATCCAAAATTTTCCCTACATTCATTGAACGTTTTACTTGGTATTGGCCGGCTTAATTTGAGTTAGTATGCATTCACTTGGTGAGATATACTTAGCACGTGGTTGAGGTGGTACGGACATGATTACAACGGCTATTAATAATATTGGTTTGGTTTGGTAGGGCCAATGCTTTACATATATTTGGCAAAGTCATGCCTAGAAACTTGGCTAGAAAATACAGACTTGGTGTTGAAAATGTTTGTCATAGTCACAAAATCAGTGGCTTTTGTACTCTTTTTGTTTGATGTGATGGTTTTAGTTTCATAATATTTCTCAACAAATGGATAGCCCGAAAATCTATTTACCCCTTTTGTTAGGAAATTTGAAATTGGATAGGAAAGAGGAGGATATTGAGATGGATGAGTTTCAAAACAAGAAGAGATAAAATTCAAAATAAATTTATTCAGAAGAATTTAGATGTGGAACCAATAAACGATAAGATGAGAAATAATAAACTTAGGTAGGTTGGCCGTATGTGGCTCCCTCCCAATTAAGTATAGCACCCATTAGGAGGTACAAGCTAGTTCAAGTAGAAGGGCTTAAAAGGACAAGACGTGGGCCCAAAAGAACGGTTGGAAGTAGTTTAGAAAAATATAAAGATTTATGGTCACACTGAAGATATGACATTTAATAGAGCAAAATATCGTATCAAGATTTGTGTAGCCGACTCCAATTAATTAGAAAAAAGATATGGTGATGATGATTAGGAAATTTGAAATTCCTACAGATGATGATCATTGGACTATGACCCAACCCAAAAATTAAAAAAATATATATGTATTGGGACTCGGTAAATATTATTGGACCTGAACCCAAACCCAAATAATGTTTAGGTCCAAGATTTGGACCGGTACCTAACCCGCCGGGTTCGATTATTTTTTACCCATACCTAGACCCGGATTGGGTATGCCCCTCAAGTATGAGTCCATCGCCACCCCTACCCCAGATTTAGTGGATTTGTAAACACCTAAAATAGAAAACTTGTTACTTTGTAGACCATTTCTAGGGC